TTTTTTATTTAGAGACAGAAAATCACCACTCTTGACTTTCTCACCCTCCATCTCTGTCCCAGTCGTAACATTCCACCCTGATTGATCTGAAGAATTTTAAAAAAACTACATGTAAAATAAATGTTAATCATACGAAGAGCTCATGAAAGGTCATACAATTTGTTATAAAATGTGATACTCAATGCATGTTTGACAAGAATAGTCAATGATAGACCTGTTTCCTTTTGCCAAGAAATTGATACATGTATATATTTTTTGACAACTACCCGAAACTGCCATTAGAAATTATCATCAGTGTTTAAGTACGAATTTAAGTACGAATTTAAAGTAAAAATTGATGTTTAGAAGGCGCTTAGTAAACTTGAAGTTTATATTTCCACTACGGTGAACTCATTTGCAGCATATGCGTATAGCAATCACATTTCCAATTGAAATATTTTATTGTTAATCAGCTTAACAAAAAATGTTTAAAAATTGAAACAGGCAAATGTCTTGGCTATATGCATATGCTGTACTCATCTTTAAGTATAACTTCAATCATTAATTTGTGCTTTTTGCTTATTATAATACATTGTGAAATAATGAATAAGAGAATTGGAAGATGAAAGAATTACAAGCATTTAAATGCAAAAACGATTAAATGAAAAATCGAATTTATTGATTCTAGCAAATTTAGTTGATAGAATAATTTACCTATCATAGTCCCCATTACAGAGTGCCCTGGCTTGAATTGAAAATGGCTTCCATGTGGGGTTTAGTGTGTTCTTGATAACTTCAGTTCTGTGACATGCTGTATAGCTAGAGGAAATGCAAGATAAACAAAAATTATTGTTTCTTCAAACATTGCTCACTGGGAGATTTTCTTTGAACTAATAATATTACTTATTATTGCCCTTCAGTAAATCAACACAAGGGTATTAAAGCACAACATAAAAATGCAACTGTTGTAATTTAACAGACCAAATGGTTGCACTAAAATAATACACAGCCACAAAAGTTGTGAAAGTGTTTGATATTAAAAAGCCAAAAGCTAAGCTGCACCCAGTGTCAAAACGTAACACGAAAATACCCCAAGCCAGTACCTTTAACATCCTCCAAGACCCAGAAGTAGCTACCAGGATGGAATACTAGTGTTATAACGACATCATGACAGGCAAAGTCTACCGCAAGAACAAGATCTGAAGCACAGAATTCAAACACTTCAAGCTGGAACTGTTTTTGTGTAAGGGTTAGGGCCCAGGGGCTGTCATTTAATTTTCTTCTTTCCTTTGCTTGCAACAAGTTTTGCCAAAAATATCCGGATCATTGTACATTTCTGGGAAACTGCCCACCTACCCCTCCCCTAAGCCAATGTCAACACTTAGTTAGTTCTCACTTAGGGCAAAATGTTGGCTTAGGGGAGGGGTAGGTAGGCAGTTTCCCAGAAACGTATAATGATCCGAATATCCAATCCTAATTGACTGTGTATTGGTCTCATAGGCCAAGCACCTTAAGGATGATATTGCATTGAGAAGTGAGGAGAGTGCTAGCTAGTTATCACCTTGACTTACCTGTTATCTTCATTACATCTGTAAAACACCAAGAAAGGATCTGACTTTCCAAAGAAGTCTTTCTTGTCGAGCTTTTTGCCATTAAACTGGAGTGTAACAACATCCTAAAAGAGGACCACACAGGGTTGTCAAAAGTAGCCGGCTGCCGGCGAAAATTGCCGCCTACTTGTTTAGAATCGGCCAGCTACTCTGTTGGCATTTCTTTATGGATGGCATTTTTAAATAAATATCCCTGGACTGGCTGCTTACTTTGACAACTTAGCCATCTACTTCAAAACTTCTGACAACCCTGACCACAGATGTTCATCAAGTTTGAGCCCACATTTCATTTCATAATTTGGGAAAAGGAAGTGCTTTGAAAGCCTGTGCGGAGGAATGCTTGGCTACACTATACAAGCCATACTGGACTTCTTCAAACACGTTTTAAAACTTGCAAAGATATTGAATTACTACTTACCCATAGTTGTATTTGCTTAATGCAAGGAAAATTTTGAAGTGCACATAAAATTCCAAGTCATTTTAACAATATGAGATATCATGCATGTTAATAGGTGCCAAAATGCTTTTACCTGCTATAACCTGCACCCCTAACTGCGGTCTTCGTTTTGCAAAAAAAGGTGCAGCTGATCAGAGGGTAAGTACAGTACCCTATAAATTATAATTTTTATGATTTCTGCACATGACTACCACAGCACTCCCCAATCATTTTGCCCTAAATGTGGCATTGCAAAACAGTTCCAAAATGTTAAAAAAGACACTAATTGGTTCTGATCATTCCCTTACTAACCTTGCAATCACTGAGTTCTTCAGCAGTTACTATAAAACAAACAGGAATTTTTTAATCAAACAACAGATCAGCCAGATTTGGTTAATGTGTCAGACATCTGAAATGAAGATTAGGATATCTCCAAAGCTAAATGTTGATTGAAAATATACTATGATAGCCAAAAAAAATGATCAGAACAAGAGAAAAATACTCGCCAATCATTGTTCCAGTTCTCTTTATCTTTGGATTTCTAGGGAAACAGACTAATTAGAATTCTTTTAATTGCATAAATTCAGAGAGAACGAATTAAACAGCAAGGTAATTTTCAGTAGTGTCAGATTTATCCACAGTGCACCATGCTAACTTACACTAAAGATTTCTGCAGTCGTCCACCAAATTCTCCAACAATGGATCCCAGAGTACATTCCATTGAGCCAATAAAATCCTAATAAACAAGCGAGAACGTTGAAAATCTTTGTTAGGGATTTGAATTCATTGATAAAGAGAGATTTTCCAGCAGATTTAAATGAATAACCAGGATACTCATGTGTATACTTACATGGTCTGATAACCTGGAAGATTTTTTATCTATGTCATACCTAAGACGTTAAAAATAAATAAATAACCTATAAATCATCTGTCAGAAAAACTAGATCAAGGATAAAAGTGAAGGACAACACATCCACTTACACTTCAAATCGAAGCTTTTGCATTTCTTCAAAAAAATAATGAATGATAAAAGTCTTGACAAAATCAGGATTCAAGTTGTTCATTATGTGTTCTGTTCTGCCAAACTAAAAGAAAACATGAGAGTTAGGTTTATTCTGATGCTTATATGTTACAGGTCACAGTTATGTTCAGGTCAAAATTTTTAACCTAGTTTGATTTTCAATTTGCTTTATCTCCTAGCCCTTAAGGTATTATTCATGAATAAGGGCTATGAGACTATAAAGGGAATTGAGAATCTAACTAGGTTAAAAAATATTAACCTGAATTTAATTTGACCTGTAATACATATATGCTTAGCTATGGAAGTGAAGAGTCCATGGTTCTCCATAAAATTGGGAAAATTTTAAAAGGAAAGGGAGGAAATATTTCAGTAAGTGCAAACAGATCAGATCGAATGAAAGGCACTTGGGTTTTGGAGTAAATGTGGAAGGGATTAGGATTAGACTTTTCATTAGGGCAGTCTGGTAGTCTGCTCTTGGAACATTTTAATTCAAACAAATAATTTGGGCACCCTGTCTATCTTTTGAGTGACCAGGGAGAGAACTCTAACCACGAGAATGGCGCCATTATTTACTAACCATTTGCTATATTTCATACCATATGTTTGTTCTTATTCAGCAAAGTGTTCAGACACAAATACTACAGATCTATTATCCTCCATAGAAAAAAAATAAATTATATAAGCCCTTTCCGTGAATAGCCATGCAGGACTCATGACATGGTGCCCTGAGCCAGAGAAAACCAGATTTAACTCCTTTAACTGAGAGTATTAACAACAATAATCATTAAACAGGGTACATTCCCACAAAAACATGGTTTAAATCCACCACTATTCCACCTGTACCTACCTCTCTCCACTCTTTGCTTCCCATAGCTTGAGTGTACATGACTACCACTGAGAGAAAAAAGATACTGTCAGTTACAATGTACCTGATTATACTTGATACATGCAATAATTATCTTCTGGGTACTATCCCCCTTCCTTTCTTGAGGACAAATCGAGGACATGCACCCAGAATTAACCCACCTACTCCTATCTCTACCCCCACCCACTGCAACCATTGACATTGTTAGGAGCAAATAGCAGAGATACCAGCTTCTGAAGATCTAAAATTTGGAGAGTCTCTCTTTTTCACTACCCCCCCCCCCGCCAGAAATTCAATGAACCCCACCCCCAACAAATATGGGAATGACTAAGGACATTATGAAGTCTTACATGGGATACATACTATCAAAATTCGCGATCATCATTTTGATGGCAGAAATAATCTTTGTCAATGACTAAATAGGTGCGAAAATGCCCCGGAAACCATACAATGAACAAGAAAAATTTAAGTTTTGAGCTAAAAATGGGCTGAATCTCAAACTAAGGCACAGAAAAGATCTAAAGATGATTTTATCCAGGAGATATGGTGACCCGTACAGGAGACCAGGAGATTGGTGTCGGATCCGAAAGAGTTGGCATGTGTGAAATAGATGATGATCAGATATTATGACATAACTTTTTTTGGTCACCGGTGGCAAAACCACATTTTTTTTCTTTTGAATAACTATGCTTCACTGCTGAATTGACAAAAAAAAAACAACAAATAAACAAATGGCTACAAAAGCTTTTTCGTTGATTTAAGAACAGGAGTCAGAAAAACTTATAAATGAATACAAGGTACCTAGTTTTGAGTCTGTAAATAAAGTTGCATTGTGTGACCATCAAACTGGAACATCTGAGCTCACCTATTACAATTTATGCATGGAGAGTAAATTTTGGTTTCGGTACAGGTAAGCGGCTATTTTAAGGTACTTACTTGGGTCGGATTTGGAAAAAACATCCATATCAGCGAGATTTCTTAAAGAGTCGAAAACACATACACAAACGATTAAAAGAAAGGCGATAATTAAGCTTAAGTCATTCAAACAGCTGGATATAATAACAGGCATGCAGTTAAGCATGTCACACTAAAAACAAAGTTTTCAGACATATAAGCAATATCAAATAAATTGATAACATGCAGTTTTCTCAGACTTCTCATTTTTTATAGTCAACGATGAAAACCCCCTCAAAAAAATTCTGCTTTGGCCATGAGAACTCGC